AAGTTCCTCACTTCATATGCGAATGGAGAGAAACCACGTGCAGTCTGCAGGAGTCGTGCCATTTGGCTTTGTGATGCCGGAATGCTGCCTCGATGCCCTGACCCTCATCCAGTTGTGACAGTTTTAGTGTTGGTGGCAAGCAACTGATCTTGTCGAAGGCTACAAGATGCTCGGCTATGTTCTTGTATCCTGCGCAACCTGTGGCACGTGCTGAATTAGATGGACATTTCAGCATCTCATCTCTGCCTTCCTGACACAGAACACATTTGTTCCAGTCTGTGGTCAGGCACTTTGTGCCTGATGTTCCAGGCTCATTATGGTCCACCACCTTGAATAGTTTCGCCATTGTCCCTCAATTCACTATGCTACTTGAGAACAGTATGTATTATATCTCTAGCACCACGTACCATAAGCTGAAACCACCAGGAATGTATGTCAGCTGCCACCACCGCTGTGCTCAAACAACTATAATATAGAGTTGTTTTTAAATTCTATTCTATATTCTATATTCGATTGTTCTATATTCCTATTGTTCTATAGTTCTATATTGTCTCTATATGCTAGTTGTTTTTGCACAGCTGCGTGCGTGCGGTGTATTTGTGTGTTGCAGAGGAACGTTTGAACGACATTAATTTATAGGAAGTTATCGGTAATGGATAATGGATTTGAATGGCGGCCATTTTGAAATTCAAGATGGCGGCCTCTGACCGATAATGATTTTGATTGCAATGTGTTCCTTGACCCCGATAATGTTGGTTTAGACACAAACATCATGTTTCTATGTTGAATATTTGCTGAATTATTAAATGATAATGGATTTGAATAGCGGCCATTTTGAAATCCAAGATGGCGGCCTCCGACCGATAATGATTTTGATTGCAATGTGTTCCTTGACCCCGATAATGCTGGTTTAGACACCAAGATCATGTTTCTATGTTGAATATTAGCTGAAATATTAAATGATAATGGATTTGAATAGCGGCCATTTTGAAATTCAAGATGGCGGCCTCCGACCGATAATGATTTTGATTGCAATGTGTTCCTTGACCCCGATAATGTTGGTTTAGACACCAAGATTATGTTTCTATGTTGAATATTAACTGAAAATGAAGGATAATGGATTTGAATGGTGGCCATCTTGGAAAATGGCCGGCATTGTTGCCATGGGACAAATATGCGATGGCCCTATAGCCAAAAATCTTCCTTAGGGCATGCTCTAACAGTGTGCCAAAGCTCATGCTTGTATCATAAAAATCACAATTCCCTCAAATATTGCACATATCTGCCGGGCTATACTGCCTGGCTACTCCTTGCTACTGCCGGCCTAAATCCTGTCTACTGCCCCCCCTCTAAAACTACACGCACCACTATCATGTCACAATGACATANTTAATTTTTAATTTTTAATTTTTTTTTTAAATCGATATTCGATTTTTATTTACGTGTAAGTTTTGCATATCTTGAAAGTTGAAACAAGACTGTTACTTGTTGCTATTTCATGCTTTATGACTAGTCAGTCTTTATAATTTACTTTGTTTTTAATGTTGTTGCCTTTTTGATAACTTGCTCAATGCTCATTGCTGATTGTTCATTGTTCAAAGTGCAATGGATATTAGTTTGGGTTGTATGTACTATGTACTAAATTACTCATGGAGTCATGGTACTACATTCTAGTCTTTATTTTTTAGAACAGTATTACTTTGTGTACTTTGTTCATTGGTTAATGTTTATGTCTATCACACTCACTCACACAGTCCGTAGTGACTAGTGAGTTGACATTGTTAGTTGGTGTTAACTTGACTTGCTCAATAAAGAATGTTCAACGTTCATTATATAAATTAACATACAAAACATATAGTGTTGATTTTGGACTTTTATTATAATCACACACATTGTAGAAAATAATAAATGTCTGACAAAAAAAATGGTTTTGTCTTTAAGGAAAAAATCGAATCGTGAATCGAATCGTGATGCATGAATCGTGAATCGAATCGAATCGTGAATCGAATCGTGATGCATGAATCGTGAATCGAATCGAATCGTGGCACATGTGTATCGTTACACCTCGATTTCTCTCGAATTTGACGCTGGTTCGATGAAGATAAAGGGATGTCTTGACGTCAGGGGCGTAGCTACGGGGGGGCCTGGGGGGGCACGTGCCCCCCCCAAAAATTTGCTGTGCCCCCCCAGGTGCCCCCCCACTGAAAATTGATGTTTCATAAAAAAAATTGAATTAAAAACAATGCCGTTAGAACAGTATAATACAAAGAAAAGTTGTATATTGTGCCCCCCCCCACGAAAATTCATATTCACGTAGCTTTCTCTATACGTTCCCCATCTCGTTCCTCTAACCAAGCGTGACGGTGTTTAGACTAATTACGTTCTGGTTCTCAGTTCACTGCGCATTCATTGACCTATATAATATCATTCCGATATTCAACTGTCTTGTGTCTTTTAGAAACTTCCACCGCGTAACTTCTTGCTCTTTCGTAATTAAATTCTCCTGGCTCGATTAAAGTGGGAATCTGTTTTGTGGATGAAACTAAGGAACGTGCCGTTTTTTCATTGTTTACGCAGGATTTATTTTTTAGGATGATTTATGCATGCTATCGTGAAATATGGACATTTTTACCCAACATATACCAAAATTATTAGAAATATTCACATATAAATGGATATTGCGCTTGCTCTTTAATACAGTCAAATACATGCAAACATGCAAGTAGATACTGTGTACGGACAGCATTTAATTTAAATAGCAATTCCAAAGCTCGACATTTGCATTCATTACATGGTAGCACATTTTCTATTACATGCACGTTTAAGTAGTACACGTAAAACGATAAGTTAACCGTGCATGTCCGGGAAACAACAAAAGTCTCCTTTATAGAAAACTCAATGCTATACAGATGGTTTCACTGTATAACTGCTTCTCATGGGAAATGCCAAAAGTGCATGTTATATACTTATAGTCTGGTGTCCATACAATAGCAATGACTAGAGACTGCATATTTCCATGAAAACGGAAAATGGACGGAAATCACGGAATCACCCCCTCTGAAACGGAATCACCCCCTCTGAACGGAATCACCAGTTTCACCAAAAATAACCTCCCAAAACACAAAAATAATCTTTAAAACAGCTCAAATCACTCTCAACTCACAGATCATAACTCAGAATTTAGCATAACGACCAACACAAGACAGTTACAGTTTCAAATTGACCAGGCTTTTTTTTCTCCAAGCATCGGGTTCATCAGTGCTGTATATGTTGAACAGGCATTCATCAGTGTTTTCTCTTAATTTTAATTATTTCTGAATTAAAATGTAGAAATTTGCTGAAACGGAATTGAAGTGGAATTTAGTAATCTCCGAAACGGAATTTGGCAAATTTTGAAGCGGAAATGTGCAGTCTCTAAATGACTGCTAACATATATTGTTCATCTCTATGATGCCAGGAACTGAAGCAGCATGGAGTTCGTAGAACTGATAAAGACACCTAAGGTGGACGGAGTAGTCCTTAACCGACCGTTCCAGGAACCAGTCGACGGTACCCTGTGTGTCACCGGTCACCACCTTATCCTGTCTTCCCGCACTGGAAATCACGAAGAGCTCTGGGTGCGTGTTTGGTGTCTGGTTTTTGGTTCTGTTCAGCTGTTTGTAGTCGCTACAATGCGTTCGCTCTGCATACCCTAGTTGTGCGTGGCCCTTAGGGCGTAGTACCTGCTAATGTCATAGCCTCAGTAGCCAGTAGCTCAGTAGTCAGTAGCCTTAGTCAGGGGGCATGACTTCCTTGTGTAACATCAGCAGCAGGGCCGTAGCCTCTGGGGGGTGGGGGTGGGGGGGGCAAGGGCTGCCCCCCTAGATTTTGGAACAAAATTGAAAAATAAGCTTAGCTAATAATTGTAAAATAACCCTAACGTTCTTTTTTTGGTCACTTATTCGTGAAAGCGTTGTCTCAGACTTACCCCTACCACACTATGGACGTCGATCAAGAGCTGCGCCGGTCGCTCATCTTTACTTCACAGTTGAGTCATGAAATTTTGCCCCCCCCCCTCCAGGAATATGCTCAGCCTGTGGCCCTGAGGAGTATAATGAAATTGGTTTATATCAGCTAGATGGTTCCTCCACTGTTATATCACGAGGTTGTGCTGTGATTGAGATAGACCCGTTTTTGTTATTGACTGCCTCAGTGCATTCATGCAAGATGTACGATGTGCAACTATTGTGCAAGTTTTTTGCCTTATACTTAACTAGTATAATGATCAAGAAACGGCGAAAAAATATATTCATGCACGTGCAATTTTGCGAAAAAAAATTGCAAGTGCAAATTCGCAAATGCAATTTTGCGAATCGACTCGTTCGAGTTTACTTATTGTGTGATTTAATACGTGGCTATATAGCTTACTAGAAATTCTCTCTGTTGCAGCTATTACATCGGAACATTGACTGCATAGAGAAGAGGTTGGAGGCCAATAGAGGCACAGTGATAGTGAAGTGCAAGAACTTTCAGGTCCTGCGTCTCGACATACCTGGTCAGGATGAGACGTTCAACATTGCTGGTTCAATAGAGGTGCTGTCAAGCCTTGGTAAGCCCGGATAGTCCAGTCAAAATACTACCTTCACCCACCACTAATTGCAAAATAATTTATTCCACTGCAGTGCATATTATGCAAATTAGACCACTTTCCCATGCTAGGATTTTCGGGGACTTTTGGTATGGTGTTTAGGGGACCATACTGAAGTGCACTGCAGTGGTATAAATTCTTTTGCAATTAGTGGTCGGTTACCCCCTCAAATTTGCTATATTGACTGGACTAGCAGTGAAATAGGCAGGTGTTTCGACGAGTGTTTTAAAATGTACGTATATGGGGTGAAAACTGTATATTACACTGCATAAAAATTTTGAAAAAAGTGAAATTGGTTTAGCTGTAATTTGAGCCAGCGTTAACAATAGGTGAAAGTAAAATTGTAACATCAAGGGACGACAATGTTGCCTTACTAATTCTTGCATTTTATCTACATTTAAGCTTTTGTTGAAATAACATAATTTGCTAGATCAGCATTATGGCATAAGGTCTTTACAGTGAAGAAGGCATGAATGTATCTTTGTGCTATACGCAAATGAATATGCAAGAATGATTAAAAGTGCAGATAGGTAATGTCGCAGTTCTAAACAGCCTTTATTTAGTTATATATATTGTCGTTCTGGTGAATTGCAGAAGATGTCAGCCTGTGGTATCCATTTTACTTCCGTCCACGGCAGTTCGACATCATGGAAGATGGCTGGCAGGCATTCCAGGTGGACAGTGAGCTAACACGCCTGATTTCCCATGCTGACCATAGCTGGAGGATCAGCAGTGTAAACAAGGACTTTAGTGTAAGCCTCTTCTTACTCATCCTAGTTTCTCGCAGATGATCCACGCTGAAACGTCAGCCCCTGTCAGCCCCTGGCTGACGTTCCTGCTGTTTAGTGTAAGCACAGTGTCATAACTGATCTGTCTCACTATCTATCTGTATGTCTCTGACTGTCCGTCTGCCTGCCTGTCTGTCTGTCTATCGGTTCATCCATTCATCCATCTATTTGTCCATGTATAAAATCGGAGCATATTTTATTATTTCCCAAGATGTTACTTGGCAGTTGACAGACAAATTTCACGAGACAGTAGGGGAAAATGTAGTACATGTTGGAAAAAGCAATAGGAAATTAGTAAGAAAAGTATGAGGGGAAAGAGAAGGAAGGCCAAGGAGTTTCCCCCACTGCTTTCTGTGCCTTACAGTGTAAACCGATCCGGCTACCATGGGGGTTTCTGGATAAATGACTCGGCTGGCACATCCCCACGCCCTCACTAAACACTACTCGCAGATTGGCCTTCACGACTCTAGTAGGGGTAGGGTGGCTAGTTCTTCTTGCAAATTTCCAAGGTGGGGCTCATTGGCTATAGCAGCCGATAGCATGTTTTACATAGACATTGTATCTGGAAGGAAACTGGAGGAAGGAACGTGGAAGGAAGGTGGAAATGGAAGCATTGACATATTTAGGAATGGTTGGATCTGGTGCCGGTGTAGTAAAATGAGCAGATGACATGTCGATTAGATCATCGGGAATTTTGTGAAGCATGGCCAGATGAGTCTTGGATCTGCTTGTATCCAATGACTCCCAATCCCCGCCCCCCTCCCCTCATTTATCTAGCATGTCGGGCGCACCGCTGCTGTCGTGGTACTTCTTGATGGTTTATTTTGCCACTTGCCTCTGGACCATCTCTATCTTCTGCTTGGCTTTGGTCGTATATGCTCTACATGGAGGAGCATTATTCCAGGTTTAACCTATTATGAAATATGCCCATTCTTTGGTTCTACTCTTTGTTTTATGTAGGTTCCTTCTGAGGAAGTCCAGAATGTTGCTAGTATCTTTTAACTGTCCCGTCTATGTGTGCACATTCCAAGATGAAAAACAGTAAAATGCAGTAAAGTTACTTCGTGTATATTAGTAGTTACCTGAATAGATAGATTCTCTGGCAGTAGCAGCATGAGTTAGTACCTGCTAGCATGCGAGGTTAGGTATTTTTGACTGTTTATCGTTAATAGTGTCTGTTTAGTCAGTGGCGTAGCCAGGATTTTCTAACAGGGGGGGCCAAAAACAGCGAACTGCGCAAAATAGTGGATGACTTAATATTTTAATGGTTCCTCCGCCTCCCTCTCCACACCCTACGCTCCCCCACCTCTCAGCTCTCCAATCTTTGTTTTGGGCGCCCTGCAAAAAGGCGACATTTTTGTTCCCTGCTTCCAAGATATGTAAGTGTTCAGTGGCGGATCCAGGATTCCGGAGGGATGAAAACAGGCGGTTTATGGGGGTCCTCCCCCAGAAAATTTGGAAAATGTAGATCGCAGGCGATGGTATTTGAGCCTTCATGTACAGCCTTCATTCTGACTACGACAATTCTCTTTTTAGTAGAACAATTCTTATTTTTTCAATTTTTTAGCTCATCTGACATAGTCAGATGCAGCTTGTAGAATCGCTTGATCGTCCGTCCGTGCGTCCGTCCGGCCGTCCGTCCGTGCGTCAACAGTTGGGCACAAATCTTAACCGCTCGACGTACGGTCACGATATTCGGGACGTCGGGGGATCGTCAAAACGAGTTGGGCTGTCGAGCTGGGGTCAAAGGTCAAAGGTCAAGAGGTGTAAAAGAAGGGGGAACATTCCTCCTTAACTTAAGGTATAGGGAGGAAATGCAGAATTGCGGCACAAATCTAAACGGCTCGACCCTAGGCTCGTGATAGTCTGTGTATAGCATCATGGTAGGAAAAGCCATCACTGTGCCGAAATTGGAGGTCACAGGTCAAAGGTCAATGGGCACAGGGCAATTTTAGACATTTTCTGAGGACATGGTCTGACCGGAGCGATTGAAAAACTTTTTGTTTCAGCGGTGACCTAGCATTTTTATGGCTTTATTGAAAGGACATGAAATGTCCCTTCTGCTGACATGCGAAGAGTAAGTGTCGGATAATCTTTTGACCCTCAAGAGGAGGGTTAAACATGGATTTGTTGACTGTTAACAAAGGAGTGAACTGCTTTTGCTATTAGAGGCCCCTCCCCCCACCCTCCCTTTCCTCCCCCCACCCCTCCCCCGCCCCTTCCCCACCCTCCCCCACCCCTCCCCCCACCCTCCCCCTACCCTCCATCTGCGATAGTGGGCGTGTCCTAACAATGATGTGTACGCAACTGCGTGTCTGCATATCTGCGCCTAAACAAATGTGGTACTACGCACGGACTGAAATTTTACGTTTATAATCGTAGCAACAGACCTCAGATGAGCCCAGACGCTCTGCGGCTCTTGTTTAACTTTTGGATTAACAGGGGTGGCCATGGCCCCCTTTATCCCCCCCCCCCTAACTACGCCACTGTGTTTAGTGATATGTTTACCTGCGATGTTTCAGGTGTGTCCGACGTACCCAGCAGCCGTGGCCGTACCCAAGTCTGTGTCGGATGAGCTGCTGCTTGCGTCTGCTGGATTCAGAGACAGAGGCCGATTCCCCGTGCTTAGCTATTACCACAACGATAACGGGGTAAATATAAGCTGCTGCTTGTTATGACCTATAACACCACGGTAATCGCGAGGATATAGGATTTTACAGCTTGAGATGATGCGCTGTTATCGATAAGTCGTGCAAGTAGTGTTACGCTCAGGTTTCACGTACCAGTTATGCTCATAGGGTCTATGTCCCCCAGGGTACTGCCGGAACGTACCCTGGGTACGGTCTGGTATACCGGAACGTATCCTGGTAACTATCTGATATGGTTAGGGTTAGGGTTAGGGTTAGGGAGCAGGCGTAGGCGACTCCCTAGACTCGTTAGTGGAGTAGGCGAGGTACGGTCCGGCATATTAGATAGTACCAGGGTATGTTCCGGCAGTACCCTGGGGGACATAGACCCTCTCAGCACCAGTTATAGCGATGTTTGTGGTTAGGCAATGCTACGGAAATTAACTACTGCTGGGTATGGTCACTAGGCGGGACTATGTATAGGGGGGACGTTATTTCAGGCTGATGTCACATACCATTCTTCCAGCTAATAGCGATGTTTGTGGTTAGGCAATGCTACGAAAGTTAACTACCGCTGGGTGCGGTCGCTACAGGGGACTACAAGTATAGGGGGACGTTATTTCAGGCCGATTTCACATACCATCTTTAATTTCCATCATAAATTATTATTTATTTCATTTCGATTTCATTTCCATCATAAATTATTATCATCAATTGCCAACATAAATTAACTACGGCTGGTACGGTCGCTAGGCAGGACTACATGTAATGGGGACTCTTGTTTCAGGCGGTGATAATGCGCAGCGGTCAGCCACTGGTCGGCACCAGTGGGCGCCGCAGTAAGGAGGATGAGCAGCTTCTCAACGCGTCGCTGCGAGCCGGCAAGAAGGGCTACATCATCGACACACGGAGTCCCAGCGTCGCGCAAATGGCCAAGAGCAGAGGTAATGCAAAATGATGCAAGACACAATAGCGATTGCACCATAGTGAGGCAGGCTGAACTGGATCAGACCGGATAAGACCGGTGACCAATCGATACGGCCAGTTAGCCTGTGAGTGGACGATGTCCACCGACCAATGAGAGAGAGCACGTGGCCATGGAAAAGTGGCGCCCGAGATATATAAGGGAGAGGCTGGGAGAGGCCGGGGAAAAAAGGAGATGGGGGGAGAGATGGAGGAGAGGAAGGAAAGGAATAGAGACAGGGAGATGTACTGCTGTGCCGATGTATGTCGTAACATATATATCAGAATAAACATCACTACCAGACCTGCTCGGGCCATGCGTGACGCGATCGAGAATGACGTCGTTACGTGAAATAATCAGGAGCAACATAATGGATTGATCTATGTGCTATTTTATTCTCTTAAATAATACTCAATATAACTCAACATTAATTTATCCCAATATCTCAATATATCAATATCAATAATCTCAATATATATTATGTTTTATTCTCAATAAAACTATGGAATATGAATTGATCTGTCCGCAGAATTGTTCGAATTCCCCTTTCAACGTCGTATCGGGGTTTATTATCTAAAGTGAGAATGTGATTCGGTTGATTGAGTGACAGAGTGAGACGTTATCGATGTATGAGCCAGCTTGTTCCTACTCAGTGCTGTGAGTTAAAAATGTTAATTATGACGTGCTTGTGTAGTCGTGTCACTCTTGTTACTACTGTCACGATTCCAACATGGCTGACGGTGGTTGACTGGCACTGCAGGTGGCGGGTGGGAGCCAGAAGCAAACTACTCGCAGTGGAAGAGAGTGCATCGCGCAATGGAGAGACACACCGTGCTGCAAGAGGCGCTCTGCAAGCTTATCGAAGGTGTGTCCATGCTGTCTGCCACGTGTCAGCAGCGCTGAGAGGGTCTATGTCCCCCAGGGTACTATCGGAGGGTACCCTTGTACTATCTGATATGCCGGACCGTACCTCGCCTACTCCACTAACGAGTCTAGGGAGTCGCCTACGCCTACTCCTTAACCATAACCCTAACCATAACCCTAACCCTAACCCTAACCCTAACCCTAACCCTAACCCTAACCCTAACCATATCATATAGTTACCATGCAGGGTACGTTCCGATATATCGAACCGTACCCAGGTTACCCTCCGATAGTACGCTGGGGGACATAGACCCTATGAGCGTCAGTAGCATATATTCGCTACAGCATTGCAGCCATTTAAATGTAAATTTGATCCTATTTAAAGACGACTCGATAGTAAACGTGTGCATGTCGAAGTAGCAATGACAGACAATAGCGGCGTGAATACATAATATTATACTGTATTACATACAGTATGTATGACTGCCACTACCAGTTATATATTCACCTTTATGTTTTTAATATTCATTCCTTAAGTAATAGTTGCAATTGTTTGTAATAAATTAGTAAATATATATATATATATATATATACGTAGATTTGATGGTGAGATGGGGGACAGCTATATGGGGCATGTCTGATCAAAAATCCTGATTACTGGGGCCATTCTTTCTGCTCCAGTTGTGCACAACAAAAAAGGATGAATTTATTATAAGTATTAGATTGTAATAAATTTAGGTATTTTGATACTTATAAAATGCTCTGGTGTATTAGATGCACCCAAAGTTTAGATGTTAGAATTACGCCTCAAATTTCCTGATTTCTACTGAGGTGTATAATATACTGTATCTTGGCTAAACAATTTTAGTTAAACATAGTACCACAGTGTACATAGTAAACATAGTGGTACCGTAGTAAAACGTTTTATGACTTTCTCAGCTAAATTTACGAAGCAGTATTCTGAGATTTTACCACATTGCTTACTAGTTACACGTATACATATACAATGTTGCAAAACGGCGAAAACCTTATTTTAACTCGAAATCCTAAATCTTCAGGACATTTTCTGAGAGATAAAATGCGTCCTGCGCCCCCCAGAAATACGGTACGTCGTTATTTCTGAATTCCAAAAAATTCGAATTCCAATTTCTAAAGCACATAACTCGTGTGATTTCAGCGTGCAGTGACTCGCGTGCAAGCACAGACAAGTGGCTGTCACGGCTGGACTCGTCTGGCTGGCTGTCACACATCAAGGACGTGTTGACCTGTGCCTGCCTCACGGCACAGTGCGTCGACAAGGAAGGTACGACTACTGCGTCTATATATGGTTGAATAATTTAATCGGATCTCTATAGTTCCCATACTAATAAAGTTTATCTCGGTTAGATCCAAATTAAGTTAAAAATAACTAACAAAGTTTCGTCAGTGTAAGTTATTTTTAACTTAATTTGGATCTAACTGAGATAAACTTTTAGTATGCGTCTATATAATATACTATTGTTAGTATATACTAAGTATAGCATATACTTACCTAGTATATAATATTATTAGTATATATTATCTATATATATATATGTGGTCATGGTCATATATTAGTTTGTGGTTTAATGTCATTTAGGTTAGGGTTAGGGTTAGGGTTAGGATTATCAATCATTAATCATTAATCATTAATGATAACAAAGTTGGGAACACTCCTAATGGAGCGTTAGCCGCTATTCCCGCGCATCAGGCATGTTCCCGCATCCTGTATACATCACACCAGTCTCTATCTCCTTTTCTACACTTGCTCTCTCTCTCTCTCTATCTATCTATCTATCTATCTATCTATCTATCTATCTCTGTGTTTCCCTCCTCTTCTATGCAATCTCTAGTATTACTCTCTTTTGTTTTCTGTTTGTGATTGTACGTTTCTATACTTTTCATTAATATATTATATTGCATAAAAAGGTTCATCACTGAAAGCTGCATTGACTTGATACCTTGATTTTAAGCCGTATTTTCTGATGTTTTAGGTGCATCCGTGCTAGTTCACGGCACTGAGGGAACCGAATCTACTCTACAAGTGACGTCTCTAGCTCAGGTTATACTCGACCCAGACTGCCGCACAGTACGGGGGTAAGTTTATACAAGCACGGTCACGCTCGCATGTGTATTAAAGCTTAAAAAAGAATTAAATCAGGCCTCGACACTTATTTTCAGATCTGGTTGTCCTGTCGGGCCACAAGAAGCAATTTTTACTTGTCCGAATTTTGTTTGAACCACACAACTGAAACAATCCGTGCACCCCCTCCCCTGCACTTCAATCAATGCCGCCCCAGCCAGCAGGCACGTACGCAGCCACGATGTGCCAGCCACAGATACGGGTGTTGCGGGCTGATTTTTTACGGCGACTTTCGAAAATATAACGTGAGAAATGTCGTGCGATAGCGCCCTGGCTCAAAGGATGTTAGGAATTTTACACAAAGTTCTTGGAAATTTTGTAGTTGTCCGAGCGGGCAACTAGCCAAGAGAATAACTTGTCCGACGTAGTCTTTCACTTGTCCCGGGCAATTGGCCATCGTTAATGTCGAGGGCTGTAAGTAATGAATTTGTCAGTTGTTTCTGTGAAACATGTTCCACCCGTGGTCCTGAATAAGTTAACTAACTTGAGGTAGATGTCGCTAATGCAGCTGCTCCACAGTCCTACAAACCACACAGCAACCAAAGTACTCTGGCTGTATTTTTCTACTGCTAGAAGTATCTATTCTAGAGGGAGTTGTGCTCAGTTGGATTAATTAACAGGTTCGAAGCACTTGTGGAGCGTGAGTGGGTGCAGGCGGGCCACCCGTTTAACGAGCGCTGTGGAAAGTCTGCATTCAGTAACGTACGCAGTCGCTACGAGGCTCCAGTTTTCCTCTTGTTCTTGGACAGCGTGTGGCAGGTAAGATGACTTATGTAGCATAAGTCCGTGTGTCGGTCCCAGCATGGTTCAGCTGTTATGGTCCTGACCGATGTTTCCTGCGTCTCGTGTTGCCGTTGTGACTGTGAAATGTACTCTGCGTGGATGAGTCATTGTTGAGTCATTTGTTGACATCCCTTATTACGAGGGCTGTGTGTTCGAATGGTCAGCAGTGTCGTTAGCATTTTGCTGTTGTGAAATATGGAAGATGTGGCTATAATTTCGTTGTATCGATAAACATCGTCTGATGAAAAGATAAATCTGTTAATCAAATTAAGTGATTATCGGAAACTGTTATCAAAAGTAGCAACTGTAAATTCTATTGGGTAAATAGCTGATGTGATAGATATTATCAACTACCTCTTTCATAACTAGATAGTGGGATGGATGGATGGATGGATGGATGGATGGATGGATGGATGGATGGATGGATGGATGGATGGATGGATGGATGGATAGATGGATGGATAAATAGCCATCTATCGATCGATCGATAGATCGACCGACAGAGACAGACAGACAGACAGACAGACAGATAGATAGATGGCTTCATAGCTATCTGGGAAAACGCTACGAGTTCGTGGCTCATGTGGGAAATATGAAATTGTTCCAGGTGTGCCAGCAGTTCCCATGTTCATTTGAGTTCAACACGCAATTCCTCATACTACTGTTTGAACATGCATACGCATCTCAGTTCGGTGAGTGGAAAGTTGTGCAGAACGACGTGCACTATACACATCTCATACTTGCTTCTTAGAGAAAGAGATGGTAAAAGCTTATTAGCCTAATTTAAAATGTAATGTTTTCACCCCGTGGTGGTTAGTATTCTTGATAGAAAATATTTATATCTTCTTCATCGTTGCTGTTACCTTCAACCTCATTCACATCATAAGTAATATTATGACCACCACCAACAGCAGCAGCAGCAGCAGTAGTAGTGGCAGCAGTAGCAGTAGTAGCAACAACAGCAGCAGTAGTAGCAGCAGCAACAGCAGCAGCAGTAGTAGTAGCAGCAGCAGCAGCAGCAGCACTGTTATCATTTTTTTATCAGTACACAGAGTATGTTATATCTTGTATATATAATGTTATATGTAATGTTTGTATATATCTTGTTATATGTCTTGTCATATATATGTTGTCATATATGTCTTGTTATATGTCTTGTTATATATCTTGTATATATGTTGTATATATCTTGTTATATGTAATGTTTATATCTTGCAGGGACATTTCTCTGCAACAGTGAGGCTGAGAAGACAAAGCTGGGAGTTCATCAAAAGACAGTTTCATTGTGGTGAGTGTGCGGCGCATGTCAGCATGCACAGCATATTTCCATTGAATAAAAATTGTTTCGATTCCATCGGCAAAATTTCCGAAATTCCATCGGCACCATTAGGATTCCATCTCGCTTATATATATTTAAAAAATTTGCTAAAAACATGGTGACATGTATTATCTATGTCACGTAGATACTGTATGATAGTGTATTCATTCTCATCAGGTTCCCATGGACAATTTTTCTGATGACAGTGCATTAATGAAAGCAACAACTGTGTCTTTTGGTTGAAGAAGCGAATGAATTTTTTAAATGGGTTGCATGGCGTCAAAGTTGTGAAACAGACCTGTAGTGTGTAAGGTCTGGTGTGCAGACAGATGGATGATATTGCATGTATGTGTGACCCGTCACATCGAAACAAGTCTTAAGTCGCATTTTGGCTGATATGGATTATGCACATTTTCAGATTCCTGACTCCATAAGCTTCATTTTGATACCTGATATCATGTTTAGTTCTGGAGACATGGCCGGATTTGTCCGGACAAATTGACGTATAATTTGAGACTAATGAGTTTGAAAGTGAACAAACAAGTTAAGCCAAGCAGATGGCAGTGTTCAAAAAAGTGCTGTAAAACACATTTTAGGATTATTATTTATTAATTTCGTCACTGTCCAGATCAGAGAGATAAGGTATTTATCAACCAATTTTTGGCAAAATTTTAAAATTGGAAAAAATTCACCCACTCTACTATACATCATGCACGCAGCTCAATACTTGGCCATGCGACTTAAGACCTGGTTCGGTGTGGTGGGTCACATATTTGCTTACATAGATTCTGTGGGGGCAGCTCTATAGACCGAAGGTCCGATAGACCGAATATTGCAAAGGGGCAGGGTTAGAATTAGGGTTAGGGTTAAGGTTAGGGTTAGGGCATATATATGGTTTATAGTGGCATTATATGATTTATAGTGGCATCGGTGGATGTGCGGCATATTCACGTTCGAATACGGCATCAGTGGATGTCCGGATGCGTAGCCTGGAGGCTAGGCGACCGATTCCGGACGTGTAACTACTGCGTATTCGAATAAACCTTCGGCCTATCTGGCCTTCGGTCTATCGGACCTTCGGTCTATAGGGCTGTAACCGATTCTGTAAAGCATTGTTTGTGTTACAGGTCGTGGCTAAATAGACCAGAGGTGCTACAGAACTATCTGAATCCCATGTATGAGCCGAACAAAGCTGTCATATGGCCGTCTGTTGCCCCTCAAAGCCTGGTGGGTGTACCTAGTTATTGATTTCCTGTTTTTTCCCTTCTCATATGTCATTTCACTTCAGTAAAATTGTTGGTAATGTAGTTTGCTACTCTCAAGCGCGTAGCCAGGGGGGTCCTGGGGGCCCTAGGACCTTCCAATCAAAATCAAAATCAAAATTTTTTTTTACAAATAAAAAAAGAAAAGAAAGACAGCATGGTCGGGTTAGGTGTCGTTGTATAGAGCTGCAGAAGAAATAGTATTGTCAACAAAACAGCGTCTAAATTGATTTTAAAGCACTATTTTTACATTTAACTAAAAAAAAACTTGTTACTCGCCCGAGGACCCCCCAATCCAAATTCCTGGCTATGCCCTTGGCTACTCTGGAGTACATGCCATGCCGGAAGTGGCATTGCATTATTTACATTAAACTTGTTTCACAATTATTGATTTACCCGTGTAACTATCCATGTGAGATTAGTCAGGGTCAAATATATTTGTTGAAGTTATCTCCCAACTATGTACAGTGAGTGCATCATACCTAACAGTATAAGAGTTCTCATTGCCTGGTTTATTTTGATAGAACAGTATAGCTTCATATGAATTTCCTGTATGTGTTTGTAGGAATTGTGGTCAGAACTGTATCTGCGTTGGAGTCAGGATAACAGTACCCAACAGGAGACTATCAAACACATACTAAGCATCAAAGAGCACAACAAGGAACTGCGAACCAAGGTTATTAGAATGCGAAGGTGCGTGTTTCAGATGAATGCTGGCACTGTAAATGTGAGACTGAAATGTTGAGCATACATTCAGAGAGAGGGCAGCACATACTATGTGTGTGCTTTACTGATCTATATATATTTTATCAGGAGTTAATAATGACAAATTTGCCATTAGTAACCCCTGATGTTATATATAGATCAGTGGTGTGCTTACCTATATTTGTTAATGTGTCACGTATTTTTTAATTTTATATATTTAAAACAAATAAATAAATATTGATTAATCTTCAATATTATTATAATTTGTTTTATTGTATGTCATTTATATGTATTACTGAGTTATCGTAGGTGCTATCATTATCAATGGATCATTAGTGGTGTATTGTGTGGTCTAGTGAGCACGATATGGCTGTGTGAAGTAGTTAACACTGTAGCATGGAGGAAGTTTAACTCGTTAATATTTCATTATGCATCTGCAGGCAGCTGCTAGACCTTCAGAAGGAAGCGGTGGATAGAGGCCTGCTGGCAGCAGATGGCAACAGCATGGAGGTGGCATCCGAGGCTTGCACCTCCCCCGTGTCGTAAATATGGTGAGGCGATGAATAAGTAGAGATCAGTTGTCCATCGTTGTCCATCCAGTGCAACCTCGTAACCTCAATATACGTATACATTAAGCCTAGCGCAGACTTGCGACTTTTGGTTGCTCGTCGCTGCAACCTGCAACCGCATGCGATCGGTCGCACGCTTTACCGGGTGTGCGCATGCAAGCGACTGCTGTTAACAGCAGTCGCTTCTTTCCATTGTCTTTTTAGCTCATCTGACGTAGTCGGATGCAGCTTGTAGAATCGCATGATCGATTGTGCGTCCGTCCGTCCGTGCGTCCGTCCGTCC